AATATGTATAAATGCTAGAATACTTGATTTTTTACATGCACATATATAATTATATGTATTTTTTAAAGTACAAAACCATTTAGACCATTTAACTTCGTTTAAACACCGTGTAAACATCCTAAACGCTAAACGAAGGGCGACCGTGTAAAAATCGTTTACCGTTTAGGAAAACATTGGTTTGTGGTCACGCCACCAGAGAAGTAAATCAAAATCATCTGCATATGCAGTGACATTGTCACTGTCCAGATAAACTAAGAGCTCATTAGCAGTAGAAGCAGATAAAGTGGAGGCACAGGCAGGGGAAGGACCAACAACAGATCCAGGGCCTCCAAAGATTCTTCCCCATGCCTGTTTTCTCTTACCTGTATGGCTTACAGGCTGTGCAACCCTTTGACTCCTAGCTGCACCAAACTTTCTCTCATATTTGTTAAATAACTTGTAAATTTTAATTTTCACATTAGCATAATATGAAGTATAATCACAAGCAGTGCTTTCTTTAAGTAATTCCAGGACTCTAAATAAACCTCTCATCTTAACTCTAGGATCAAGAATGAATACAAATGAATATAACAGAGGTATATGCTGCCAGTATTTAAGGAATTTAATCTTCATAGGATATACAACAACAAGGTTAGAAGGACGGCGAGCGATGGAGGAGGGGCAGACGGGGACATGAACTCACATAATCACCCAGATCTAGAGGGGAGATAGGGATAGGGAGAAGGGAGAGGCGAAGAGGGAGCATGGAGGGTCTCAGGTAGGAGTAGTAGGGAGCTGCTCGCTGGCGGCAAGCGGGGTTAGGGTTAGGGTTAGGGTTAGGGTTAGGGATGTACCTGCGCAACCGGAGCCCAGTGCCGGAGAAGACGAGGGCCACCCAGAGAAGACGACACACCGGTTAGAAGGACGGCGAGCGGTGGAGGAGGAGGGGTAGACGGGGACACGAACTCACATAGTCACCGAGATCTAGAGGGGAGATAGGGATAGGGAGAAGGGAGAGGCGGAGAGGGACCAGGGAGGGGATCAGGTAGGAGGAGTAGGGAGCTGCTCGCCAGCGGCAGGCGGATCGTCGAGGTCACCTCACCGGAGTCGGGGAGGACGAAGCCGAGAGCGAGACTGCGAGGGCAAGACCCGAGAGCGAGGCAAGGCGAGACGAGGAGAGCGAGGTGAGGCGAGTGTAATGAGCTAAGGTTCGGGTGTGAGAGCTGCTGCCATGTGGCAAGGCGTTATATATGAGGAGGGGGGAGGCGGGACGGACGGTGGGGTGGGCTGGCTGCTACTGGCCACCACGCTAGGCCACGGGAGGGAGGAGGAGTGATGAGGGGGGGGAGGCGGGCCGCTGCGGGCCGGCCGGCCGGCCTTGGCCAGGCCGTGCCGTGCCAGCCCACGGGCTCGAAAGCGTGTGGCCGTGCATCGCTGCTCCTCGGGCCGGGCCAGCTGGGCCCTGACGTCACCGGGTCGTGCCGTGCTCGTGTCGGGCTAAAAAAGCGGGCTTCGTGCCGTGTCGTCGTACCTCGGGCTGCATGGACATTTATACTCTATACCATGTGACACAGGAACCCTGCCATTATTATCGATTGACCTCGTTTTATGTGCAAGCACAAGGATCAGATCAAGGGAAGATACTGTAGATAATATTCTTTTTGCGGTTTACTGAATCTGACTGTCGGCGGCTTGCCTTGCACCTGCCCCATCCTCAACCATCAGATCTGCCAGCCTAGTAAATCCTTAATTCACAATTTGACTAAAATAAATGTGAGGAATAAGCCGTGATTGCAATTTGCAGGATGTAGGTGAATCATTGCATAACTTGTCTATTCTACCTTCTATGTATGACATAAATTACAGACAATAGTCATCTACATTGTTCTACACGCACGCCCTAAAACAATGGGTCACTGAGAACTATCAATATTAAATTACCACTACTTTAGAAAGAGTAGGCTATTACAAAAGACATTTTTATTTTGACATGATGTATGGGATATACAGCTGTTATTTGAATCAGAGGTTATTAAATGCATTGGGTAATATTAATATATATTTTTAGCATGCAGCAAGGATTCCTCAGCTCTTCTTTCCAAAGTAGTAGTCGGATCATGGAGAGATATATATTTAAAAGATTTCGCTGTTTGCTGAATCAACCGACAGTTCAATGAGAACAAGGATTTGTGTTTAGTATTAGGCTTTGGATATTTCCACATGTAGATACAACAATGAGTTGAATTTTCACGTGGAGATACAATAATGAGTTGAATTTTCACGTGGAGATACAACAAAACTCATTGTTAAATTAAATGATTGGGGTCACATTTGTACTTTTGTTTTTGCAGAAACTACTCCTACTTAAGTCGTGACAGTCCCCTAATTCTAGGTACATACGTAAATTTTTTCCCTGCTTCCTGAATCAACCAACTGTCGGCAGTTTGCCTTGCACCAACCAATGAGAGGTTCTTATAACACACATTAGGATTTGAAAAAGTTTCTCAAAAGAATTTACTGACTGACAAAGTGACAAATAAAACTCCCTTACCATATACTATTAGAAATTAGCACTCACAACGAGAAGCTATCCATTAATCTCCACGCTGTCGATTGAATCTACCGAGACAATGTTAGGATCATGAGCCTATGATCGTATCTTTTAGTTTTAGTGATTGACATGACAGCACAAGCCTAGAACTAACATATGTGCTAAAGATATGTTAGACACGCTATAATAGGTCCTAAGGATGCAAGTTAAAGTTTGATCAAGATCCGAGTTGAAACAGATAAGAAACTATGAAGACTACTCACCAAATCAGTTGATTAGGCCCACCAGATCATAGGTGTAGTCCAGTAAGTCAGCCAGAGAAGACAATGCACAGTGGATGATATGGTGAAGAGAATAATCATGCAACGAATCATCTGGTGAACATCAGAGAGTTGGCATAGTAGAAGACCTCGATGACCAGTGCCACCGGATGATATGGTACAACACAGAAGCACCTTGTTGGATCATCCAGTTGTAAGGATCATGTGCCCATGATCAACTTTTAGTTTTTGTGATTGAGATGCACCACAAGCCCAGAACTAAGATGTGTGCTAAAGATGTGTTAGATAGGTTATAATAGGTCCTAGGTTCAAAATGTTAAACATTGATCAAGATCCGAATCAAAACGACGAAGAAATGATGAAGATTCCTCATAAAATCAGATGATCAGGCCCACCGAATCATAGGATGGAGTCCAACAAGTAAGCTAGAGAAGACAGTGCCCACTAGATGATATGGTGAAGACTGAAGAGAAGAACCACCCAGAAGAATTGGCACACTAGAAGACCTGGAAGACTAGTACCACGGGAGGATGGTGAGGACAACCAAGAAAAGAATCACCTTAGGTGTGAACGACATTGTTGATGATGAGTACAACCAAAAGATCATTCAAGTTCTTCATAAGATGGAGTACAATGTGATCATCTCAATTCTTCATGAGAAGAAATTTGATTATACGACACCCAATCAAGTCATCGACAAGATCATCAATTGCTCATGAGCTCCATATGAGAATCAAGAACTCTTCACCAACACCAAGCATCAAGGGTTTGCCCGCCATAAGCAAGTACAAGAGCAAGAACAAGCTAAGGCGGTAAGAATCAAGATCAAGCGAAGAAGAAGAGAAAGATAATGAAGAAAAACCTTGACGCACTAGTGGACATTGCATTCACAACTTTGTAATTTCAAAATAGTTGTTGAATATAAGGATATAAAGTCATTGCTAAAATCATGCCTCATGCCTGCAGAGACCAGTGAGATCCGGATTCACCCAACGTCCCAACGAGATTGATTAACATCAGTTCATGTGAGGGTGAGTTATATATTTTCATGTATATTTCAGTTATTAGTATTGTAAGCTTATTTTTTTCTTATTTCGAACATTAGTATTGTATTTGAACTATCTACATTGTAGTTGTGCAACTTTTACAACTTAATCTTTGAACTTAAAATTTATCATGTTATTTATTGCTTGTATATCAAATTGAATTGTAAAATTTACAATTATATATGAATTTGGTAAATAGATTTTACCGGAAACTGTGTGAAAATTTTAGTGCGACATACCCTTTATTGGTGAAGTCCTAAGCTCGTTGTTGCCTAGTGGGAACTATCTACATTGTAGTTAGGCATGGTTTTATTCAGCTTTAACTCCTTGCTACATTGTGCTGAAATGTAGGAATAAGTGAAGCCTAATAAAATAGTAGCGTCACTAGCTCCTACTCCCTCCATCATGAATATAAGATATCGAAGGTTCAAAATCTATATATACCAAATTATAATTTACTCTAGATTGTTTAACTCATCCATGTGTACCTGCCTTTTAAACCTCATATATACATGCCTTTTAAACACTCCTATAATTGGTAGCCCAAATCAGTGACATACATGCATGAATATCTTTTTAAACTATGCAAATTAGAAAATTAAGCAGGTTGATAAACAAACTAACTAACTACTGAGGAGTAAATTAGTCTTTTGTCATACTCCTTAGTTTCTAAAATTATTTGGATATCTTGTATTCCTGGACAGATGGAGTAGTTTATTTTGAGGGGAAAAAAGCTCCTTATTACTGTGTATTGCATGGAAAAACCGAAAACTCTACAAAACGGAGCCATAGTCTCACGCATGTTCCACAATTCACCACAGGAGCCCTCTTCTTCTCCACCAAATAAACAAAAAAACAAAATCGTTTTCCTAGTAAAAAAATATATCTGATTTTTTTAAAGAGAAGTGAAGTCAAGAGGAGACGTTCAAACAATCTGGTGAGACGTGTCTGAACTCTGAAAATCATCCTGTCCACCCATGTCTTGTGGTCCAAAACTGCCTACGGAGCGTGGATCCCAGGCTCCCACAGCAACTGAAACAGAAATAGAGCGACACCAGAATCGCCACCAGCCCACACACCAAGAACAACCAGAGAGGCAGGCAGGGAAGAATCACAGAGAACTCACAAACACATCTTGCAGAGATGAGCAGCACGACAGTGCTGTTCTCCCCGACCTCCTCCTCCCTGTTCCTCACCAAACCTTCTCCCGTCGCCAAGGGCAGGACGGCGGCGGCGGCGGCTGTGAGGTGCAGCAGTGGGCCCTCCCTGTCAGTGGGACATGAAGAGGAGGGGGAGAGGGAGGGTGTAGCAATGGTGGGGAGGAGGCGGACATTGACTTCTGCAGCTGCTGCTGTCTGTGGCGCTCCAATGCTTGGGTTTGCAGGCCTTGGTCTGGCGGCCACTCAGGGCCTGCTGGCAGGGAGGATCCCCGGCTTGTCTGAACCTGATGAAAATGGTAAACTCTTCTTCTTTCTCTTTTGTGACTGACTGAATTTGGTTCATTTGTTTTGGATCTATAGGAGTAGTTCATAGTTAATAGAGACCAACAAATGCTTTGAAATTCATGCAATAATACTTAACTGCATAGTCTCGATGGGCAATTCTGTGTTCCTCTCCTGTGGAATATTAAAATTACAGTTAAGGTTCAGACAGAAATCTTGTTGAATTGTTTTCATGATGCTGATTGTTCAGACAGGTTGGAGAACATACCGTAGGCCAGACGACAAGTCCGGTGGCCACGGAGTTGGCTGGAGCCCCATCATCCCGTACAGCTTCAAAGTTCCAGACGGCTGGGATGAGGTGAGGCCTGAAGCTGCTGACACAATTTCAGGTTCACAAAAACAGTCCCTTGCCTTCTGATGCAAAATTACTCGTTCTTTACCATGGCTCCAACTCCAACTTAGGTCCCGGTGTCAATTGCTGATCTTGGCGGCACGGAGATCGACCTGCGCTTCGCAAACCCAAAGGAGGGCCGGTTGTTCGTCATCGTAGCCCCGGTTCGCCGGTTCGCAGGTGGGGAACTGAAACCTGAAGAACATGCTGAATCGTGAGGTCTTCATAGGGTGTACCCTAACGATATGTGATTTACTCTGCCAATTCTGTCCCACAGATGATCTTGATGATGCGACCATCGAAAAGATCGGCAACCCGGAGAAGGTGATCACCGCCTTTGGTCCAGAGGTCACAGGAGAGAATGTGGAAGGGAAGGTCCTGTCCACGGCGACGGCAGAGCATTCAGGAAGAACTTACTACCAGTTTGAGCTGGAGCCACCCCATGTGTTTATTACCGCCACGGCAGCTGGGAACAGGCTCTACCTGTTCAGTGTAACTGCAAACGGTAAAACCATTGTTCTTAATAATCGCAGAAATGAAAGACATCTCATTGCAACTTTACTTTTTATCCTGAACAATAGCTGGGAATCTTTTGCAGGTCTGCAATGGAAGAGGCATTACAAGGATCTGAAACAAATAGCAGAATCATTTCGAGTCGTGTAGGGTTTCAACTCAACTTTTTCACAGCGCCTGGCTCTTATTAATATGATTAGAGGACATGAGGGATTGTATTATGGAGAGAGGAAAAGTGAACATCACTTTTGATGATCACTCTAAAATTAGAAAGCTGCGGCATTTCAACAGCATGTTATTTGCTCGTTAAAGGCTAAATGCTTGTTACTATTTTTTTCTGATGTTGCCTCGAAGGGTACAGATGCTTGCCAATGCATATATCTAGAAACTTTCGTGACTAAAGCATACACGTCAAATCTGTCCACTTTGTGTGTGGGAACAAAACAATTCATGTACAGTTGCTTGGTTGCAGTGGCCAGCCCTCCATGTGGTCCAATAAGGTCATTGCATCTTGATCACAAGAAGACATGCTTCACTAACTTGCATCCTTGAGTACCAGTTTAGCTTCATCACAAAGTGTCAGTAGAGCTCCAACGGCCAAATTGAAGCACTAGCGCACTTCCAATGATGAGTGAACCGTGTCATCATACAAAGCTGCAATTATGAATAGACGTCAGTTCATCTGGGAAGGATCTTTGAGGTGCTATGGTTTGGACAATACACTTTAATCAACAGCATTTTATCTCAATTCTTGAAGCCAACAAAGAGTATCATACAGTGTAATGAACAATAGAATCAATACCTATACATACATCGGCAGCACGTCAGTGCCTCCCAGTCAAACAGATGCACTCAGGAAATGGGTTTTCATAAAAAGATTCCTCAGTCCTAAGCCGTGCTCTGCCCTTGCTTCCTGGCAAGGAGCCATACCTCTTCCTTGGAGCCCCTTGTCTGCAAACAGAGAAATGCATTCTTAATACAATCTTTGAATTAAATAAAAGTACTGTACATATGACTATCCATAACTATAAATAAAATAAAATCACCTGTATTTATGCATCTCAGTAACAAGTGATGACAGCTTAGGACCTTCCATGAGATCGCCTTTTTCCAGTAAATCAAAGAGTTCCACCAATCCTTTCCTGCAGATTAATCTAAGATTAATTTAGAAAGGGAACTAAACAAACACTTAGTTACATGGTGAAGATTGATAGACCAGAATATCAAAAGTAAAAAAAAAAGAGTAAGTAAAAGGAATAAATAAAGGACTTATAATTGCATCCACGCGTGCAAATGTGCACAGAAAAGAAACATTTAAAAAGATATTGGGATCTAAGAAATATGTTCAAGATCAGTGTGCACTTATCACTTGTTTCGGAAGAAAAAATAGAAATTAGGCAAAGTTAGAAATCAGAGAAGTAGCAAGATCAGATAAAACAAAGCAGGCTTTCAGGAGAAAAATCCCATGTTTACCTGTCAGGAGTGATAGTTTTACGATGCCCTAGAAATCGACGATGGCCTTCTACGGCTTTTGCCATATTGCCAGAGTGTGATGGAACAAACACATCACTTTCAACTGCAATTATGTAATCAAGGGCAGCAACTTGAGAGGCATGATTATTGAATTTCTCAAACTCTTCTTTTGTTGCTAGCATCTCCTGCAAAACTGAAATTGTAGTAGCATAGCTAGGAATGGTAGATACAATCAACAAAAAAGAAAGTATATATACCTTGCTAACCAAATTTGGGAAGTACGATCTCAATTTTGATATATACTTTTCACCACCATAAATTTCACCTGCTGCAAGGTATATCCATGTGGATTCAGGATAGCCCATAGCACGCAGAAAAATGCCCACCTCATTTGGAGTCAGTGGACAGTTGCCTTCATATCTCTGTTCAGTTGAGTTTATATCCTTCAGTTTCCAGTGGCTTGTTCTCTCTCTATTGAAAGAGAAAGCAAATAAATACAACAAGCATGTAGAAATGGGGTTGTATGGATGTGCTTTGGTTGTTCATACCTCATAATTCTCAACTCATTTGCTTCCGAATCACTCAGACCGTAAGTGCATCCCGTAAATGCTAGCATATCCTTTTCATATCGTAGATGAAGAGCAATATATTTCCCACGAGATCTTAGACGTTCTACTAGCTTCTGTTTCGTAAGTGTTACGTTGGCTCAGAACCTAATTTAAAGACTGCTATAAATCTCCAACTGCAATTGAAGACTGCAAATTCTGAGCTAAAGATATGTACAGTTTATCAAGAGAATTCATGCCTTTCCTAGGTCTTCAATTAGATCCGAAAATCGCAGTGCTTGGTAAAGACAGCGGCATCTCAATCTCTGGATATCAATTGGAAGACCGTTGTTAGCAAGACGCGAGTCAGATTTTGGGATGTGAACTACCTGCAAGGCAGTGTGAGGTGAGATCATATAATAGTTACAGACATCAGATCGAGGCAAAAATAGTACTTTCACATTAACAGAGATAATGACTGGAGCATAGTTTGCAGAAGTAAAAGTATGAACCATTATTGTAGATGGTGCGGTCGCTGGAACCAGCAGATTGGAGCAACTGACTCACTGGACAGCAGACCAGATGTTCAGATTAGGCTACTATGTACTCCCGCCAGTCTCAATTAAGTGATATTTTGGGGTTCTCTTAGGTCACTTACTTTAAGCTTTTGACTACATAATACTTTTTGCATATTGAGTTTCACTGTTCGGAAGTGGGACAAGTAGATTTGTCTATGACTCTTGAAAGATAGTTTCACAAAAGTAGTCAAAGGTTAGAACATTAGACTTCAGAAAACATCAGAACATCACTTATTTGTCACCGGAGGGAGTAAAAATGAGATCCAACCTAGGAGGAACTAGGTGGTTTTTCATTCAGAAGAGAAAATAGGCACCCAAATTCAGTCCAAGACAGGACTTGAACCTAGGTGGTCGGGTGCATTGCCACACCTCTCACCCAACCAGTTGAGCTAGGCTCACTTCCTGTCACCGGAGGGAGTAACTAGTCATCTTTCAACTGTTAACTACTCACAGGAATGGCTGGTAACCAACTTGTTGCAAGGCAGATCACGGGACATAGCAGAAGGGGAGGCAGCACCATGGGAGCAAATGAGAGATTAAGACATGAGGGAGGAAGGTTAGCGAAACAATGCAAGGCAGGCGACGCAATGGCAGAGGCTACAGTTCCTAGAACAAACTTGCTTCTTGGACCAATTGAGTCAATGGTTTTCTTGGAGGAAAGAAACACCGCAGGGTATCCAAATACTACAGAGTACAGACCCTTACCCCTGGCACCGCACCATGTCTACCTCATCGTGCTACATCCTCCATGTGCCTAGGTCATCGCCTATTTGGCAGGTCATCCCCTGATGACTCAATTTGACTTTATGGCTTAATAACAATGCTCAAAACCAGTTTATATCAAATCTATCACATAATACCGCATTGAGGAAAGCTACTTCAGGCAATTACGCCTGAAGCATAGAAAATCCTAATAAGCACATCCATGAGAAAGTATAACACGATACTGCATACAGGCAACATCCAGGAAATGTTATTTCTCTCCCTATAGCATAAGGCAATTATTTCAACAAGAACAACTACCCTGACATTCTCAACTCATTTTGCACGAACTAGAACCACCATATCATATCATATCAGTTCAACATATTAAATAATAAGCAGCAAAAAGAGAACCTCCTCAGTTTGGTGTTTGAAAGGTAACTGAACTACCTTCTGATTCTTCCAGAGCTCTTTCACTTCCTCATAATAACTTGCACCAGACCATGAGGTGAAGTGTTTCCGGGCTCTTGGAGCAGATTGCAAACTTCCAGGCAAGTCACTCACAATGTGGACATCTCCTTCCAAAGCTTTAATAAAATGAGGCTCATCAAATATGTCTTTAAATGTACTGTAGACAGTGATGCAAGTTGTTAACAAAAAATTAAGGAGCAATCAGACAGAATATATGGCAATAGCTAAACTATAACCTAATGCTCAGAACCTGGTATCTTGCCAGAAGGATCGCTTATCTAACTGAGGGATAACAAGTGTTGCATTCACCAAACGGGCAACTGCGACCATATCACAGATCTGCAGAGGAAAGATATAGGCTAAGACTAAATATAGGAAACCACAATTTTCTGAAGTTAGATATTAATTACAATAACTGAGTCAAAGATGACACAGATTTATCAGAAGACACCAGAAAAAAACCAGGAAGCTATTTTTTTAACAAGAACAACTATATAATTATAGATGCAAAAGCTTGCTCACATAAGATAGACAAATATAAAGCTTAGAGTTCAGTCTTGGTGCAATGGACTTACTCCAGTGCGCATTTGGTTGAGTCCACCATTACTTCTAACAGTCATGTAGCTGTCTGACTTGCCTTGAACTGATAATACAAGAGCAATTGTTAGAGCCATCAACAGAAATGATAATGACAGAAACATTATCACAATACCAGCATACCACATACACATATGCATCATTTTTGCATGAGTGCTGTTATCAGATTGCATATATACAAAGAAGGATACATATGTTTGACTGTGTATAGAACAATTACAAGATGAGTTCTGATTTGGTCATTGTTGTGTTGCTCCTATGTTCCTAGACTAGATAACGTACATATAAATTTTAAAATAAAGTAGGAAAGCATCAAACCGAACCTTCTTGTTTAATTTACTAGCTTGTACAATCAAAGCCACTAAAACCAAAGAAGATATTATAATCATCTCAGAAAATGGGGTAAAGATGAAATCACGAGCCTGAATCATATGGCATGAAGTTGGTGTCAACAAGAAGAGCTGGATTATCCACTAAATTGTACCCTAAAATCAACTGCGGCTAAGAGCTAACATTTGATATCATGGACACCTCAAGCATTTCATAATAATAAAATGACCATGGTGACTTTGATTTACTATAAAAAAAAAACTGGTGCAAAGAAAATGAAATTTACCCTTATATCTAGAGGTTGGTGTAACACAAGCATGATAACCATAGCCATTAGAAGCCCACAGTTGATCGCTTGACACCTGAATATCAAGCAGTGCTTCGATTCAATGACAATTGGATTTCTATGAGTGGTAGCATCACTACTCTTCATGAATAAATCTGTTAATATCAGTTTCATTTCACTGGAATGGAAAGCATGCAAATTGACTTTACACATCTAATACCCAAAGATATATAAGCCTGTTCTGTCCTGTGAGTCTTCTATTGCACATGTTGGTGCATACAAAATATTAGTAGCATAAGAAAAATTATTAAAGAAAAAAAATTATATGTCCAGTTTCTAACTTGGTCATCCAAAAATAAGGGTGTCAAAACTCAAAAGCAAGCATCAAAGTTTGCGATCATGCCCTTCTGAAGTTTCTCAAGCTAACACTTTTTACATGCTCTCCCTAGATACAATATTTCACTTTCCCCAAGCAATAGCATCCGGAGTTGGCCTATCCTTAGTTTCAACTCTCAAGATGGCATGAATGATTAAGATTGGTCTACCCTTGTCTCCAACTAGGTAAAATCTTTCGTTTGAAGGACACCAACAATCAGTCCTTCAGTTACTAGTTTCACGAAGATCAATAAGTGTGTTGCATTGCATACACAGCTATTCTCTATCAACAACCAGGGAAATGAGATTAACTTGACTACCAACGTGAGCACAAACAAGGCAAATTCAGGCATTCAGCAACCGCATTGCACCAAGCACCGACGCCTAGCGTACCAACTCGCGCAGTGAAACCTCAACAAGCAACAACAAGCTACCAGTAACCAAAATGGAGAAGGAGGGATCGCGAAACGGGCCTGGCGGGGCGGGTCCGGGTCCAGGCGGGATAGGTCGACCCGCACGACCTGGTGCAGGGAGGAGAGGAGGAGGAGCGCGGCGAAGGCAAGGAGCAGGCAGGCGCAGCGCGAGATTTGCGAGCGCAGGAGCCGCCGGTGCGGGCGGGAGTGGAGGAGCGGCGGCGCCCCGCGGGGTTGCGCCATGGCCGCGAGCGAGCGAGCGAGAGGGGATGCAATTGCAAGATGTGAGATCGGTCCGGCCCAGTGGCAAACCGTTGGCTTTGTGACATCTTTTCGTGGGCCAACGAGTTGGGCTTCGCTTTCCTTACGCTTTCCCATTTCTTTGAGACAATGGGCCAACCACTTGAGCTTGTTTCACAGTGGATCAGATCCTAATCCTTACCTTGTACTCAAAGAAATTAATAATAAAATAAATTTTAGTGATATAGAATAGTAAAAATTCAAAGTGGCCTGAATTATTTTCTATTCGAATCACTGAGTAGTTTTCTATGACCTAGAAAAACAAATTGTATTCTTCTTAATACCATCACCGGTTGACAAATGCTGCCGCTACGATTACAATATTTGAGGGCACGATTCCTTCCCATGTGGCGTGTGCACAATGTGTCAAAAGAACTCATTTTTTCCTAATATAAAATGAGATTACAACATAAATGGAGGATTGAGGTCCAGATTATATTCCTCATCCCCATCGTGTCATGCAACAGTCACATGATACACACATATCCAAATTAACTATGTACGTACCGAAACTAAATAATTCCTCCGTTCTAAAATGATAATCATATTTTATATAAGAAGAAGTCAAATTTATAAACTTCGATTTGATCAATTATATACAAGGTTAGGATATAACTTGCGTGAATAGATTTGTTTCAATATGCCTATTGTTGGGGGAAGACGGTCCCGGCTCAGCCCTCGTCCTGGCACTCGACCTCTTTTCTGGATTGACTGATCAATCTCACGGCGGGTGCTAATCCCTGCCGCGAGGGTTTTTTCCTCGTTAGATGTCCCCTGTTATCAGGTACCGAGTGCGGAGGTTCGTCGTGACGATCGGAGGTTTGCTCCGGCGGGACGCTGGCCCCTGGCGGATGGTGAACCTCGCTCCAGGCGAGCAGGGAAATGGTGCGGACCGTCAAGGGAAGCCGGCATGAAGACGGCATCGTTCCCGCCAAAAGCCCTTAGGGTTTAGGGTAGATGGCCATGGGGGAAAGATTACCACCCTACCCTTGATCATTGTATCACAGCAGACTCGTCAAGGTCGCCGGCCCCTAGTGTAATTTCACCATGACCTCGGGTGTGGCCTATAAATACCCGAGGCGCCCGTGTAAGAGGGGGGAGTTATTTTATGATAATTTATAGGCAATTAATCCGCATTTATTTCATACTTCCCCAGTGAACCTTCGACCTCGCACTCACGCTAGCTCACTGATCCTTCTCCCTGTGGGAAACCCTAGGCCTCTCCCCGCGTGGTCCTCAGCGAGGATGAGAGGCCAGGAGTGACCCCACACCTATGAGATGATATTGCTTTTTTTTAGTAAATAACAATATATTGTAATAAAACATAATAGTAGGGTAAATATCCTATTATTACGATTGTGTAGGCACCTGCTTGTGTAGCATTTTGATTGGCATTTTTGAATTCCTAATTTTACCATGATCATCCATAAGTGTTTTCACTGTCGTGATTGGCTTGCTCAAACAATCCTTTATTGTAATCTTATGCCCAGCTATTATCTAATATAATTCTTCTTTCGTCGCAAAAAAGATTATATGAGCTACTTGATTCCATAAAAGTAAATGCAATGTTTTTGTGAAATTCAAATGCTAACCACATGTCCGAAGTCTAGAGGCAACTTTATTGTGGGTAGCAGCAAGTATGCTGGCAACTGGATGCTCGAATGGTGTTGACGTCGATCCGGATCACACGCTAGCAAGGACTAGAACGCTCAAGGTTGCACACGACCTATCACACACAACAAATAGATCGATTAAGCCAATTTAGAGTCCGTTCTTCACCGCAAGAGCTCGAAAACACCCCCTAGAGGACCCGTTGGGGAGAATGGGAGATCCACGCTTGAGGTTGTCCTACGGTCAGTAAGTAAGGCCACCTAGAACGTTGTTGGATCTCACGGAGAGATACAACGAACAGCAAGAGATTGTTAAAAAGACAAAAAAAGGGGTATAGTAGATGTAAAAGGTCAATTGGATGTTGAATCTTTCAATCGCTCGTGATGCTTCTTTGTTGGATCTCTCAATCGACCAAGCATGCTCCATCCAAATGAAAGGGGTATAGTAGATATTGGATCTCTCCATCGACCAAGGACGCTCCATCGATTTCCACTCCAGCTATGTAAAAATTAAACTAGTCTCTTCATATTTTGTAGAGATCCTAGAACATTCAAATGAAACGGACGAACTGATTCTTTGTTTGGCTTATACCGATACCAGTGTCCCTTGGTCGGAGACTCAGAATCGATGGAGCAAACAGTCCTAGGTAGCTGACGGTTACCTACATTGCCACTATGCACTAAGCATTTTTCTCTCACAACAAAACAGCTTCAGCCGGCTTTAATACCAGCTGAACAGGCCCAACAACTTCAGCCGGCTTATCAGTCGGCTTTAATACCAAAATTAACAGGCCCTATAGTTTGCACTGCTGGTTTAAAAAGGATATCCAATTATTAACTGACTCCTAGGCTTATGACTCGGCAATGAAACATATAGGCACTGCCAGCTCCAGCATAATCGATGGTGACGGTCGGTAGTGATTGCCCGTTTTATAGCAGTGTTAGGTCTTATCTGAATAAACTATGCTAATCGACAATTAGTTTTGTAGACTTGCAACCTGTTCACTTGAACTTATCAGCCTGCCTTATCATTTCATAATAAATCAGCGAACAATATTTTTTAACCTGTCTTTTCAGCGAAGCGAATAGGGATCCGTGTCTCACTATATGATACTTTAGGTAAGTTATTAGGAGACCATTAAATATATTCAATGTAAAGCTAGCTACCAATTCTTTCTCATCACTATCGTGCAGTGGCTCATCCATGGGGGCGGCACGCTACCCTGGGATCCATTGAGGCTGGCAAGGAAGGATGAGACAGCGGAAGTTACATATAGTCGGCCTGTTCGCTGGTTGGTTTCTGGGCTGATAAATTCGGCTTGTGTTGGTTTGTTGTGAAAGAAAAACACTGTTGGCTGGCTAATAAGTTCTGGCTAAAATCAACCAGCGAACATACTCATATATAGTGTGGCTCATATACAGTGTAGGAGAGAAAATGTTAAGTGTTCCGTCGGAGAGAACGGGGAAAAAAGTCACGTGGTGTGGAGAGCCGTCCAGGTGCAACCGAGCATATGTTGACTGTTTAACCTACCTTACATGGTAATAATGGGAAGCTTCGTTCATTCAGTTGTCCTACTAGTTATATATTGCCACAGCCAAGGACCAGTACGGCGAAGGTCCAGAGGTTAGCTCGATCACGATCAATGAGCCTGTTCGTTTATACGATCGTAGATTATAAGCTAAAATAGTATTTTTCTTTCACATCAAATCAGTCAGCAGTAAATAATCTATGATCGTTTACGATCAAACGAATAGGCTGAGTGTACTCAGTGGAACCGCCGGCTCGATTAGCATAATCACCGTCACTAACGATAACGAAACTCGTCATCTTTGCTACGCAATGCCGTACTCCTATACATACAGTGACTTTCTGCTTCTTCTGCAACGGGATCTGCACTCGATCGTCACACTCGATCGTCAGGTGATGGCGCGATGAGGTCATCTCCTAGTTGACGCTTTCTCACGTGCCCACCTGCATTTCAATTAAAATTTCCACGCCTCCGACCCACGAGCCGAGGGGCGCGTCTAATTCGGCAAAGTTTGCATAGTGCACGATTCTTCACTGTAGCATTTTGTTTGTATTTGTGAATTATTGTTCAAACATTGACTAATTAGGCTCAAAAGATTCGCCTCGCAAAGTTAAAGCAAACTGTGCAATTAGTTTTTGATTTCGTCTACATTTAATACTCCATACATATACCGCAAGTTTAATATGACGAGGAATCTTCTTTTTTGCATAGTACACTTTTGGAGAACTAAACAAGGGCCAGCTTCCTTTCCACCTTTCCCAAAAAGAGTCGTTAGGTACGGTCAGGGGCGGATTTGGGCCTAGGGCCACGGCTTAGGCGTGGGCCAAATCTCCCTTTATACCCTCTTAATTTTCCCATGGCCCAGGTTGTCATTTCCATGAAATGCCCTAGTCTTGGCCCATCAACACATCAGCGAAGGCCTGCGTTTGAAGCTCAGCAGCTGCCTGCCGGCCTGCTTGCGGCTTGCGGTCCACTGGCACAACCAGGAAGGAATCGCATAGTGGCCCACTGGCCCTAGGCGTGCAAATTGGCCAGCTCCGCCACTGGGTACGGTGTTTGAATCCGGCGCTGGCTAATGGACACCGCCACTCATTAAAGTCTGTTTTATATCTCTTCTACGGTTACTTTCGATGGCAGATTTCATGTCTTAGTTTTCAAAATTGCTATCCCATGTAACCTCTCTCAGATGTACCCTATAATTTTATCTCACGGTTTCATAAGCTAGCTATAAGGCTGGACGAAAACTCAAAGCTCGTTAGTTCGCTCGGCTCCATGTGACCCTTCTGATTTTTCAAGTTTTCTAACAATAGACTCTGATACCACTTGTTAAAGTGCGCAGCGGATTCAACCTGCTATACCCATGAGTCGACGCCACACCAGGACCAAGTCCGCCAGAGCCCACAATATACCAAGGTCTTAGGCCTACCTCAACTCAAAAGAATAGCTTGTAACACTCGCCTTATATGTTGTGTTCCCCTATCATTAGTTTTTGATGTGGGACTAAACCAAACAATAACGTTGCATGGCATCGAATCGAGCGTGTGAGAATGAAATGATCCTCTCTCAATGTTCTTTTTCCAAGGCGCTAGATATAAGATACTCTTTTGGGCCTGTTCGCTTGTCTGAATTCTGGAGTAATTTGGATGGTTTGGAGAAATGCTGGAGGAATTTGTGAGAGAAAAACACTGTTTCGAAAAAAAAAAACAGATCAAGCCGGGTTCCATGTCAGCCGAACAAGGCCTTTGTTTTGTCTGGATGCAACTACTACTCTCACCCTTCTTAATTTTGTTACGACCGCAACATT